AATTAACCAAAATTCAAAAATTCATAGTATTTTGTATCTTTTATCAAAAACGTTTTTGCTTCTTCTTCTCTTTTTAAGTTTTCATATGCGTTTCTGTGAGAACATTCTTCTTCTTCTTTTTCACATATCTACCAGGTTTAATCTCAGATCGGAAGCAACAAGAATCAAAATTCAGATCTAATTTCACGATTGCCAGATCTGTTTTTTTGTGTGAAATAAATATGGTCCATAGAGAAGAGACAACAAGATCTGATTCCCAGATGACGAAATCTGGGTTAGAAAGATAAAAACAACGATGAAATCTGAATTAGAGAGAGAGAAGAAGAAAAAAAGTATGAGAAAAAAGAAGAAAAAAACAGATCTGGTTTAACAAATGAAAAATTTGTAATTAAGGGTAATATGAGAATATACAGAAAATGAGTGGCATTCTTGTAAAAATTGCAAAAAGTGACATTTTTGTAAAGTGGCATGAGAGATGTTATATTTTTAAAAATTTCTCAAGAAATAATTCTGAAAATAAGTTAGTGAGTACTGGAGAGCTCTCACTCTCGTTATCATCTAGGGTTCTTCTTCGATCGATGTAGTTGTAGTATTTCTTCTAGTCAGGCTCGAGCTTTCCGAGTGATGTATTGATCGAAACATGAATTATTGTGATAATGTTCAGATAAAAATAAATAAATTATTTGTAGACAATGTTCAAAATTGTTATATGTATGTTTGGAAATTTTCTTAAAATACTTTTTTTTAATCACGATTTTTTCATTTGTATACTAATTACTAAAAGACGACGTTGGATCGAAACCATTTAGACACATAAACAAACTGTAAAAACCAGCACATCGGAATGTTTCATATAGATACATCATCAATATATAGAAATGAGTGGTGACTAAGTTTTAGAAGCTGATTCACCTATTAGAGATTATATGTAAAAGTCTTTAATTTGTAGAATGCGGGTTAAATGTAAGAAAATGAAATCTATAGAGTTCTCAATTGATTTGCCGACAGTGGAAAGACCCTATATGATTTTGTCAAACGGCTTAGTTAAAATTGTGGGGTAGAGTTGGAAGCAAAGTGTAGATAATTGACAAATATTTTCATTAAACATTGTAGATAATCTTTTACTGATCAAAAGCAATAATTTAATTTGATGGGTTTATATTTTCTTACACACAAGACACTCATATACTACCCTTTGTCAAAGTCAAGTCTCATTACTCATGTTGGTCTTTATTCATTGCCAAATTATAGTATACGTCATTGACAACATGCATCGATCTATTAATTTAATATATACTCCATACAAATATATACAGTACGTCTTTTAGGTCTTTGCAAATCAAAATATATAGTACGTAAAATATTTATTCTTCCTCAA